TTAAATTTTAATTGGCATTATAGCATTAATATCAATTTATTTCTGCATTTATTATCAATAGAATTTGATTTAATTTGTCACTGCGCTATTTTTTTAATTTGAAGTGACATAAGGAAAGAATAATATTATAATTCATATTTATATTACAAACTATATCATAAAGTAAAACTTATTAAAAATAATAATTATGAAATTACATAGTAATATGGAAGACAAGGGTTTGAGTAATCGTGAAGAATGCAAATATAATTTTTTTCATTGGACATGAAAACAACTAATTATGTCTCTTATCGGAAACTCTTGACAAGCGATCATATGTTTGTAGATTGATTCGGAGGGCCTCCTGAGACCCAACAGTTCAAACTGTTCGCCAATAATTTTATCATTGTCACGCTAAAATTTCCTTCGCAAAAGCAAAACGACAGACCGACATCGTAGTGGACTACGGATAATTAGAAGTGTCTCGTGTTCAGGTTCACCCCAAACGAGACATTTAATTATACATAAGCGCCAAACGAGCCTCCCGTCGTCCGAAGCAAGAAGACGTACAAGAAAACTCGAATCGCTCTACTAGGACCCTCATCCTTTAATCGGCCAGGAATTAGATTAGAATCCTTCGATTCTCGCATTAACTTTGGGTCCCGACTGAAGACTAATAATGGATGCGCGAAATCGAATCCCGGTTAGACTCCAAATGGTGTTTTGGAATACAGAAGTCGGAGACGTATAAACTGCACTTCGAGATTGTTTGCGGTTTTAATGTTAACCCAGTTTCTTCATATGTGCGAACCCTCTGGTTTATTTGATTTCTTTATTTTCTCTCTCGGTATTTCTAAATCAGCTAAAAATTGTTCAGAAAGCTTCCCTTTAAATTTAAAACTGCAAGTGACATTTCTGCGATGTCTCTGCACTATTTCTCTCTCTCCCCCCTCTCTCTCTCTCTCTCTCTCTCTCTCTCTCTCTCTCTCTCTCTCTCTCTCTCTCTCTCTCTCTCTCTCTCTCTCTTTTCCTCTCCCTTTCTATTTTTCCATTCGCAAACGTATACGTAGCACCAACGTACATGAGATAAATGGATTTAGCGTGGCTTCGACCTTACCGAGTACGCGCTCGCCCGGCTGAAGCTTTATTCTACCACCTCTCTCTCGACGCTCTCGTGCGCACGACAGGTGCAGCGTGGGAGAACGAGGGTGGGAAGGCGGAGGTAGGTGCACGCTCTCGCAGGGAGCTCGTCACGAGGGAGGGAAAGGGCGGCCAGAGGGGACAAGGAGCAGGAAGGCAATACGAACAAAACAGCAAGAGAGAGAAGGCGGTCTCCTCGGTTAGCGTCGACTCGCCCATCGATCCCCCCGCGTAACCCCCTCGTCATTGTGTACCCCCGGTCCATCGCGTCCTCCGCGGGGGCCGCGTTATTACTCTCGCGTTGTCGGCTTTCTAGCTAATCATATTCGTGACAAAGAAATCTGTGGTGCATTAATAGACACAAATATTTGTAATTAAGCGCCAACATATTCTCGTCATTTTTCAATTTAACTTTAACGTCAAAATGTAATTTTATTCAATTTTATTAGAATGATAATAATTTAATACCCAAGTTATCTTCTGTGCAACGTGCAGTTATGCTGCAGTGATAATAATAGTGTATGAAGAAAATCAGAATTAATAAAAATCCAAACAAATCAAGCTTGTTATTGAAAACAACAAAATAATTTCAAGAACCAAGAGAACGAGCAAACAAAGAAGTGAATTGAAAACCAGAATTTTTTATACAAGGCTAAGTACATTGATAAAAAGATCATAATAAAATTTCGCCGTCAACTGTAAATTAAAATTACTAAATAATTATATTCATTTGAGATTATTTCGGAAGCTTGTTCACATTGTATAATGTGAACAACGAACGAAGAAACATTAAGAGATAAAGGTGCAACGATCTTTTACTCCATCTTGGCTTCTCCAGAATTTTCTTTAGAGGAGGATCGACTCTCTAAATTACTTTCCATGTTGCATCTGTAATGGAGATGAAAATATGGAAATCAGATGCGCAACCCAGCGTGTTGAATTCTAATACA